GAAAGAGTCCAAGATGGCACAGAATTGCAGGTACAGTATACCTTCTAAAGGACACACTCACATTTGTTCTGTTCCAAACCCTAGTGTGCTGCCTACGTAAGCAGTATTTTAGGGTAGCATTTTAAGGCATTGAAGTCACACTCCCAACATGAAGAGGCAGGGAAATTATACCGCCTACGAAGATAGTTATTCTGGCTAGATGCATTTGCCCTCAGTATTATATGAATTTCCTACATTTTTCATTCAAAAGTTTAAGGTCGGCACACTTTTTTATATTTATTTATTTTTGTTCATCTCACAATTCAAATAATCACAAATGATTTGCATATATTACTAAAAATAAAGCAAAATTTGTATTATAACAGAATAATAATATAGTATACGTTTCTATCGCTTACAATGTCATTGTTTTGTGGAAAAGCTGATTTAAAAAAAAGTATTAATAAGAAGATAGTAATAGTATGATGTATATCTGAAGCAACATTTATTCTTATTATTATTGATAATCAATGCTAAATAATTAATTTCTACATTATTTAATAAGTTATTTACTTAGAACAGGGGTGTCTAAACTCTGTCCTGTAGGGCCGGTGTCCTGGAGCTAATCAAGCTCTTACTGGATATACTAGAAAACTTCCTGGCAGGTGTTAAAGCAAGTTGGAGATGAACTATGCAGGACACTGACCCTCCAGGACTGAGTTTGGACACCTCTGACTTGGAATGTTGACTGCATTGTGTTGTGCTTCATACTTAACATAAAATTAATGTCTGTAAAATAATTAATAAATATATCTAAGTAAAAATGGTAACACATACACACTTACAGTCTATATATCTGATGTTGTGTTCACACCACACATGACATTTGCAAATAAATCATGCTATTTGCACATAGTTTACCCACTTCATCTGCACAAATTAGCTTCATTCACATGTGAAATTCACTTTACATTAGATGCGGATTCGCATCATGGGCGGGCATCTCGCTTTGATGCTAAATGGCTAACATGGATTTTATTGAGAGAGTAGTTGTGTTTATGTGCTTTAGGAAGGCTGAAAAACAGTGTATATTTGTTCGGCGCTGTTTCAGGGTCCACTTGATTCTTTCAGAGGTGCACCCAGCTCTGTGAGTTCATTGACTTCTCCAGAAGCCTTATCTGGAGGATGAAAGCTTTCAGCGGTGGTTCAGATTGAGCAGAGCCCAGTTTTATGAGCTGTTTCCGGCGTCGACAAGAGGATCTCCCCTCGGGACACCAACAACAAGCACTACGTCATAATCATGCCCCTACAGTAGCGAGCTTCTGATTGGTTAACTGAGTTGGTTTTTTCAAACTCGAGTGATTTGCAGGATCGCTATGCAGGATGTCTGTTCACTTCTTTGCTTTGACTTAATATATAAATCACTCGTGCTGTGTGCTTCATCCGCGTCTGGTATGAACGCACCATAACACTGCCTTACTTGGTTGCTGGACTATAAATACAAGAAATACAAAATACTTACTACTGTCTATTTAGAAACTGCTTTTACCATGACTTCAGTGATTTTAAAAGTTATTATTATTAAAAATAATTATTGCCTAGTTACATTTCACCCAAACTGTATATAAAGCATACTTTTAGACGCAAAGTGTGTATTGTCAAGTATGTTTACCTATACATGAAACTGATCCTCTGCTTTAAACCCATCCAAGTGTGGTTTATTCACTTCCCCCATTTTCAATTCCTGCCAGTACCAGGAATCGAACCTGCAACCCTTCGATTTCAAGTCCAGCTCTCTAAACATTAGGCCACACAAAAAAGCATAAGTGGATTGGTGAAGTAAATAGAATAAATACACTCTACAAGTGTGTGATTTGGATGTGGCATACCATTAGCTTAGCAACATACTAGTCTACTTTCCCATTGTATCTGTTAATAAAAAAATATAATTCTTTTTCATAAGGCAGCAGCTCTGTTTTTTTGGAGCTGATCCATTTTTTGATACCAGTATTAAAAAAGCCAAAACCTAATTTCATCTGAACGTCAGTAGTCCTCACAAGTGAACTTGTGGTCACCAAGACTATACCGCAGTCATGCTTGAGCAATGCAGTCACTGAGTCAGCACAGAAATCCATAGAGTGGTCGAGCAGTCATCAATCAATGTCTACACACACACACACACACACACTCCATATCAACCCTACTGTAGTCTTGAAACACACTCACAGGACAGTCTAAAACCAACAAATTTTGAAACTTAACACATAAAAACACACACATATGTAAAAAAAATATAATAATAATAAAAAAAAAAAAAACATGACATCAACCGCAGGATCCTCTGGCAGACAAACATTTACTGGAAAGCAGGATTGTGTGAAACCGATTGGCTTGCATTGGAAAGAGCTGAACAGTTCTAGTTTTTGGAAAAGCCCAACTAAACTAATCCTGAACCAAATGTCTTTTTCAATTCTCTGTGTTTACTGGGGAACATCCGTGCGGGTCGATCGAGTGTGATATGTACAAAAATGTCCATAAAAGGGCTCCATCTGAACGCAGACGAGAGGCAGCTGCAACAATAGGCAGACATAATTTGTCTGTCATGAGGAGTATTATTTATATCCAAGGTCTAGACTACATCACAGTCACAGAACAGGGTGTGGAAACTTCTGTGAACGTCTCTCCAACGGTGCGTGAAAAGTCGCAGGATATGGAGAATGTCTACCTTCAGGCGATTGTCATCATTTCCAAGATCATTTCCAAACCATTTCACCGTGCAAAGAAAAAAAAAAACGTCGACTGATAACTTTGTTTTGCTTTGACGCAGCGAGTGTTTGTTTCCTTCAGCGGCTGAATAATTAGCACTGAATAAATAGATAAATAAGCACAGACGAGCAAACGAATAAATGCAGTGTCGACCTTAATGAGCAGGCTCGTTAGATTGGGTGATTGCTGTTTGGAGTTAGTTTAATTCGATCTGCCTCTCTAATCCCACAGCCGGCGATGCTTCATTGTTCGCCGCAGCTCTTACAAAAACAGACGTTAGCTCATTTGAATTTGAGAGGTATAACTATTGATCTGGCACAAAGGGAATTACTATGTGTTCTGAGTGAAAACAAATTACGGCGGTTTGTCCCAATCCTAATAAAGAAAAGCAGCAATGCATTTGGTGGAAGTTTCTACCAGTCTGTATTGCAGAAATGAGCATGTATAGAGATATACTGAGGCAATTATCTGCTCTGATTGAGGGAAAGGTAAAAGTGGTGTGAATGTAAGGCGCAAAATTAACTTTCTGCTGATGGATGGTGAATTCTAAGCACTGAATGCTCTGATATTCTGGTGGGAAAGATCTTATTTTTCTTTTTACTTAGTGGAAAAAAACAGATCAAAGTATGTAAGATGCATTGTAAATGAGATGTACTTTAAGGATTAATATGTGCAGCATGCTTTCCTTCATAACAAAATAAACACACAATGATAACAGTAAGAAACAACAGTAGATGAGAAAGCATCAAACGCAAATCTGAAAGTATCCAAAGAAAATGTGCTTTTGTAATTTGAGTCACATCATGTTTATTTACAGTATATAGCACGGTATGCAATCTTCTTGTGTCGGTGTTGCTTTCATTTACGCCCCATTTGTGAGCATCAATGCTTGACGGGGTTGAGCCTGAAGGTGGGGTGGATGCAATCCTCATAACAATGAAATTAGACGGCAATTATCTACTGTCTGAGCTGGGGTATTTTCATAAAGCGATCCAATTGGCTGACGATTCTGTTGGCGCGTAAAAAAGTTGAGAGTTCCAAACTTCTGCAGCAACGGATTCACAATTCAGTTCAGCTGAAGTGACCCATTCAAAGTGAATGGCAAGCATTGACACTGACACAGTGTGTAAGGCGTTAGAATTACAACTTCAGCTATTGTGCAAACAAACTTTGACTAGACCTGATTCTCTTCATAATCAATTTTGAAAAAAAATATGTTTTAAAAAAAATAAAAAATAAATATATATATATATATATATATATATATATATATATATATATATATATATATATATATATATATATATATATATATGCTTGACATATTGACGTTATATTATATTTACATATTTGCAATATTTTTTGCTTATAGCAGTATAAAATGTGATTTATTACAGTTAATTTACAATTATAATTGTAAAGCAACACTTTTCTTTCACGTAAAGTCAAATAATTTATTTAAAGCAACAGATCCACTCACTTTTTTAAGTAAAGTCTGCTAACTTTTTTATGCAAGTATACTTGACTTAGAAAGTATGGGGTTACAGAAAAACAGCGGAGGTTATGTTTAGGCTTGTGATAGGATAAAGGATGTTAAGATTATTAGTAATAATAATAATAATAATAATAATAATAATTAGTCTAACTTAAAATACTAAATCAGCATATTTGAATGATTTCTGGAAAATCACAACATTGAAGTTGTTTGGTTCTAGTTTGCACAACAAAATCTTTGCACTTAACACCTACAAATTACATCATAGAATACCTCTTCTCCTGTTTCATTTTATACATGTGTATCAATTTATGGTTATCTATTGTGTCAAAACCTTGTGAGGTGCTAAACATGTCTTTCAAGTAGTTCAATATTTCAAGTTTTTATATTTTCAATATGCCAAAATTGTATTCTATGTTACATTTAAACTGCAATACTACTTAATTATACTTTAAGCAATAACCCCTTTTTATAAAGAAGAAACTGCTTTCTCGGTGCAAAAATGTTTTGTGTTTTTTAAGTGTTTTGGATTGCTATACATATAAATATATAGGCATTTTTAATATGACAGTAGACGGAGCTGGGAAAAATCTGCAAGCCAGGTCTTAAACTTGGGTCACCCGAAAGTGCACTATATGTCGGCGCCGATAGTTTTAGAGTTTCATTCATTACCTCAGTTTAATTAAGTCAGAAGTGAACTCTGAGAAGAAAAGAGTGTTGAAAGACTGTTTTATAGGCTGGTGTGGGTCTGATGTCTTACTCTGTGTGGGTCATGCTCAGCTCCTCTCCGTCGGGCCTCCAGCTCGTCATATGCTGGAGCTGTTCCCTCCCGACGAGCCTGAAGATACTCCCTTCTCAGTTGCTGGATACGGTCCATACTGCTGCAAAAAAAAAAAAAAAAAAAAAAACACACACACAACTCACTTAGTTCAAATAATAGGCCAATCCAGTAACTACAGTTGAAGTCAGAATAATTAACTGAAATATTACACCATTATTTTTTCCCCCATTTTTTGTTTAACAGAGAGAAGATTTTTTTCAACACATTTCTAAACGTAATAGTTTTAATAACTCATTTCTAATAACTGAGTTATTTCATCTTTGCCATGATGACAGTAAATAATATTTGACTAGATATTTTTCAAGATACTTCTATACAGCTTAAACTGATATTCAAAGGCTTAACTAGGTTAATTAGGCAGGTTAGGGTAATTAGGTAAGTTATTGTATAACGATGGTTTGTTTTGTAGACTATCAAAAAATATATATAGCTTAAAGGGGCTAATAATTTTGACCTTAAAATGTTTTTTTTTTTTTTTTTTAATTATAGCTGATTTTATTCTAGCCGAAATAAAACAAATAAGACTTTCTTCAGAAGAAAAAAAATATTAACAAACATACTGTGAAAATTTCTTTGAAAACTTAACATAATTTGGGAAATATTTAAAAAAGAAAAAAAAATCAAAGGTGGTTTAATAATTCTTCAATTTCAACTGTCTTTTAGAAAAATCTCTAATGAATTCTTGTTCAAAGGGAAACTCTAACTACATGAAGCTGATTTTATAGTGCCTATTTTCATTTCTGCTGTACGCTTTCAATGTTTTTGTGCTATGTTGGTTGTATATGTTTTATTTGTTGTTGTCTATTTTTGATAACTTGTAACCCAAGGTATGTATGACACAATGATCAACAACTGTTGTTTTATTGAGCTTTATAAATCAAGTAAAAGTAAAGTAAAAGTAAAACAAAATAAATAAGTGAATATGTGATAAAACACATAAAAAAATAATAATAAACATAAAATATAAAAATATAAAATATTTCAGTGATTTAAAGCTGAAATTAATCATATTGAAAGCATATGAAAGTGCAATAATAAATAAATACAACTTTTTATTCATTAAGGATCTATATATTGATAAAAAGTTACAGCAAAAAAAGCTTATATTTTGTTAAAGAGTAATACATTGTTTCAAAAGCTGTTATTTTGAACTTCCTCTTCACCAAATTACTCTGAAACATAAAATGTATAAAAAGACATATAAAGAAAGGTTTTTCAATAATAATTAAAATAAGAACCATTAGCAATGATTAATCACCGACACAAATTGATCATAAAAGGGCAACAGCTCAGCATATAACACTATTTTCTGAAACAAACTTTGGACCAGTGTTGTTTTAAATGCTGTTTTTAAATAAATCAAGACATTCTTGCTCTGTTAAACATCATTTGGGAAATATTTGAAAAAGAAAAAAAAATCAAAGGGGGTTTAATAATTCTGATTTCAACTGTATGTCTAAAAAGACAAACTCTAATGATTTTCTATTTAAAAATATAAAATTAAATTAAAATTAAAAATATAAAATATAAAAATTATTTTAGAAAATATTCCAGTGATTAAAAGCTAAATTTTATTATATTGAAAGCATACAGAAACCACAATATAAAGCAATAATGAATAAAACAATAATAAAAAAATAAATCAATAAATAAATAAATGTTTCATTCATTAAAAAAGAAAGGTTTTTCAATATTAATTCAAATAAGAACCATTAGCAATGATTAATCACAGACCCAAATTGATTAAAAAAAGGGCAACAGCTCAGCATAAAACACTTATTTCTGAAAAAAAAAAACTTTTGACCAGTGTTTGTTTAAGTGCAGGTTTTTTTTTTTTTTTTTTGATTAAATCAAGTGCGCAGCTCCACTTAGTGAAGCTCCATCTATCCCTTGTGACATTTGAACCTGTAATCTTTAGCTTACCACCCTGGATCTTCAAAGACAAGGCTCTTACATCCACACACGGTCTCCTACGCATAAACGCTATTTCCCAACATACACATTTATAGACTTCAGTCTTATGCACAAGATAACACACAGCACTTGACCCCGGCCCACTCACACCCATTCAGAACAAAGAGCCACTATCGATCTGACCTACACATCATGTGACGGATAAAAAGAAAAAAACCTCCAGGAGCCCAGTATATCAGACTGCTGATATGTCCGAATTGTAGACACTTATGAAAGCTGTGGAAAACTCCATCATCCACACTTATCAGGAACCACACCGTGATGACAACTGAGTTAAAGCAGACAGAAAGACTCAATTCTGTCACAGATAATCAACAGCTCTTTCTTACAGGCCACTTCAGATCTAGCCAGAATTGTACCATCACACATACAGAGAAAATTCAACACATTTTTCTCATTTAAGGGGGAAAACTACACTGTTAAAAGCGCTTTATTACTTTACTTATAAAATGTGAGTAAACCTATTGCACTACAAGCGATAAGTTGACTTTACTTTTTAAAAAAGTGAGTAAACCTGTTGTAAAACCTGGGATTGTTAAGTTGGTTGGCTTATTTTTTTTAATAATTATTCTGATTTTATAAATTTTCTTTTCTTAACTACTACTACTACTACTAATAATAATAATAATAATAATAAAGAAAACGAATGAATGAATGAATGAATATAAAATTAAAATATAAAATTAAATTAAAATTAAAAATATAAAATATAAAAATTATTTTTTTGCAGCTGGAGGGGCCTCTGCTGTGTCAAACATATACTACTACTACTACTAATAATAATAATAATAATAATAATAAAGAAAACGAATGAATGAATGAATGAATAATAATAATAATATTAATAATAATAATATTATAATATTGAGGCGACATAGTGGCTCAGTGGTTAGCACTGTCACCTCACACAAAGAAGGTTGCTGGTTCGAGTCCCGCCTGGGTCAGTTGGCATTTCTGTTTGGAGTTTGCATGTTCTCCCCGTGTTGATGTGAGTTTCCTCTGGGTCCTTCGGTTTCCCCCATGGTCCAAAGACATGCACTATAGGTGAATTGAATAAACTAAATTGGCCATAGTGTATGTGTGTTGCAGTTGGTTGCAGCTGGAGGGGCCTCTGCTGTGTCAAACATATACTGGATAAGTTGGCAATTAATTCTGTTGTGGCAACCCCAGGTTAATAAAGGGATTAAGCCGAATGAAAATGAATGAATGAATGAATGAATAATAATAATTACAATAAAAACAAAAAGTGAGTTAAAGCACTTAGTGAGTTATATTAATCTGGGGTCACCACAGCGGAATGAACCAAAAACAAATATTATATATATATATATATATATATATATATATATATATATATATATATATATATATATAATGTTTGTTTGTTTTTTACCTATTTTAACTTGTTTTCTGCTGTCCAATGTAAAAGGAGATATTTAGCATAATGTTCAAGCTGCTCTTTTCCATGTAATGGGAACTAAAAAGTTACTCTAAAATAAATACATATATAAATAAAATAAATAAAGAGGTCAAATGGCTTTAATTAGGGGAAAAAAAAAATCCTGAAAGAGATAATATACATTACTCAGCATGATTAAGTACACCCCATTTTGAAAATTAATATTTGCATCCATTTATCAGTGAATACAGGCTATGTATTTAGGTGCATTTAAACTAAATAGATTTATTAAACAGATATTTATTAAAATAATATTTTAGTTACCGAACATATTTAGAAATTGAAAGATCATACAATTAAATTTTAAGAAAAATCCTACAGAATCTAAAACAAAAATTGAACAAGATAAAAAAAAAATGCTTCTCTTTATTTTTTCTCTTTTATAAATTTGTATTTATTATTTTTCTATAACATAAATTTGGGTGTACTCGTTTTTGAACCGTTATCGTATAAGTTATTTTGTTAGATAAGCTCCAGAATTGGCTTCAGTACTGACTAATGTAATGTATATGCACAAATATAATATTGTATAGCTTCCTGTTAAAAATATGAATTTAAAAGAGATTTGTGAGGGGTGTACTTATATATGCTGAGCACTGTATAGGTATTTTGCATTGTTTTTGTTGTCGCTATGTAATGGTGTCGATGACTTATTCTCTAAATAGACACATTACAAAATGTTTTTATTAATGTTATTATTATCAATGTTATATGCTATTATTGCACACTACAATATGCAATGGATGATAATAGTTAAACATGGCAGTTTGTTTATTATTTAGGTTGCTGAAAGAATCATTTTCTCCTGTTTTGTCGGGTTTCACTCTGGTGTTTGTCCATTTCTGTAAGGATGTCAGAAGCACTTCTATAATCATGCGCACATTATTTTAAAAAAAGTTTGTTATTTCTAATATAGATGTGTGGCAAGCACACGCAAACTCTCTAGAGAAAGTGAAACAGCTTGTGCTTTAGACGTCCTTGTAAACAACAACGGGACACAGGGTAGATTCTGCTCTTTTTCTTGGCTTTGTGGTGGTTCATCAAGACGATGACAAGGTTTGTTTAACCTCGGGTCGACCATGGCTCATTATATTCATGTATTATTACAGTGTAATGTCTGTGTATTTTAAAAAATAGTGCTTCTTTTGTTTTCATGCTCCTGGCTTGTGCACGCATTAGTGACGTATCTCTGTAAAACAATAGCATCCAGCTGTGCATATAAATCTGCCTTTTGTTGTGCTAGGTAATCTTTTGCAAGGGCACACAAAAAGTGGTAAGGTACAGTTCGATTTTAGGTTTTTTTTGACAGTGGAAACAGCCATAAAAAGTGTACCGTACCGTACCATCCTGTGTTGTACACAGCATTTCTTTACAAATTTTGGCTAGACATGCATAACTAAACAATCGCTTTTTTCTGCTCTGTGTGACTAGGATCATTGTGACTGCACTTCCATCGTTTTTAAAAATGCACCAAAAAATGCCAAATGGAATCTGAAAAAGGTTATTTTTTGTGAACTATCCCTTCAATACCACACCACCAGTCCAAAGCTCAATAAACATCTCTGCTTTTCCAGACACAGCAAAAATGGCGCGCTTATCAAACGTTC